TCCTCGTTCCTCCACGTTCCTCCTCCTCCTCCTCCTCCTCCTCCTCCTCCTCCCCCTCCTCCCTCATCCTCCTCGTCCTCCTCATCCTCTTCCTCCGCCTTCTGCTCCTCCTCTCCCTCCTCCCCCTCCTCCCTCCTCTCCCTCCTCCTCTCCCTCCTCCCTCCTCCTCCTCTCCCTCCTTCGTCGATTATTCGACTTTCGCTCCTCCTTCTCCTCTTCGACCCTCTTCTTCGATCCTCGCTGTTCGCTGTTCGCTCCTCCTCCTCCTCCTCCTCCTCCTCCTCCTCCTCCTCCTCCTCCTCACGCTTTCGCTTCCGCCGCCCCTCCCCAGCCCCGGCGCCGCACCCTTCTCGGCGTGAACCCTCTGGCTGCGCGCCGCCTGGCCGCGTCGGCCGGGGAAGAGAGGAAGAGGGGGGAGTGGGGAGGAGAGAGCGGGGAGGGAGGGGGGGAGGGAAGGGATGGGAGGGGAGAGGGGAGGGGAGGAGAGGGAGGGAAGTGCGAACCTAACTGTGGGAAAGGGAGGGAGGGAAGGAAGGGAGGAGAGGGAGGGAAGGGAGGGGAGGGGAGGGGAGGGGAAGGAGGGAGGGAAGCGCGAGCCTGACTGTGGGAGACGCGTTTCTGTTGCACCGCCATCCGCTTCCACTGCTGCTGCTGTCCGCAGCCTGTGTGGCTCCAGGGGCCCCCTGAGAGCCGCCTCTGGGCGGTATTACCCTCTCCTCTTCGAGCTCCAGACAGCCCCTTTCGAGCTCCTTCTCGAGCTCCAGATACCCTGTCCTTTTCGAGCTCCTTTTCGAGCTCCAGATAAACACATTGATCTACGCGAGAGAAGAATCACAGGATACTCCCTGCCAGCTCTCTGGAGGGCGTGCCGTGCGTGGCTGCCGGCCGGCGTCCCTCCCGCTGGCGCGGCGCGCGGAGGCCTCGGGCGCGGCCCCCTCTCTGCAAGGGGGCGGCGCGCCCAGGGGAGGGTGGCGCCAGCGACCCTGCAGCGACCAGGCGGAAGCCCTCTGCTGGAACCCTTCGAATGGTTGACAGCTAGACGGGCGACTCGGCCTGACCGCATGGAGGGGGGCGGACCAAGCGGGGCCGCCGACAGCGTACGGTTGCCCGCCCTGAAGGCTCAGCCCGACTCCCCAACCGCTGCACCTGTCAGCGCACGGCGAGGAGACGCAAGTGCGAGACTCGGGCAATGGAGGGGGGAGGGAGCCACCCCAGGGGAAAAGGCATTCCTGGCTGAGCCCGCGCCCCAAACCCAGCCTGGCCCAGGACCAACCAGCGCGGCTGCTGGAGGCAGGAGGGCGGGAGGCAGGGCCAGGAGGGAGGCCAGGGAGTCTTTCGCAAGAAGGCCTCCGCCGTCTCCTCGAGCCACTGAGCCAAGGACACCGCCTGGGGGGTATCCCGTTTCTCCCGGCAGCACGCAATCGGAAAGTACCGGTACCGCTGCTCCCTGACCTCCTCCAGGGTGCGTTCTGACCGGGTTCCGAGGCGAATGCAGCGAGCGCGACGAGGGCCCCCGAGGAACCCCCAAACCGGGCTTACCAAGGGCTCCCAACTTCGCGCTTCGCGCTGCGCGAAGCGCGAAATGCGAATAACTTCGCGCTCTCGCGCCGCCTCCCAGGGGAGAAGAGGAGGATGAGGAGGAATCGGAGCCGAACCGCGAAGCGCGAATAACTTCGCGCACTCGAGGGCGCCCTTGGCTTACCAAACGAGGAAAGGGGGGAGGGATCGGAACCTTCCTCCTCTGGCAAAAAGAGAGAGGCGAGGGCAGCCAGCAGCAGCGGGGCCGAGCCCCGGGGCGGCCTCCCCGTCCTGCTGGGGGCCCCCCCAGGGGCCCCGCACCGGCAAGACCACCAGGCCAGGGCCGACCAAAAGTCGGAAGCCGCAGAGGCCCAGGCAAGTCGAACATTTCCTCAAGCACGGCCTGCGCCAAACCGTGCGCCCGATCAGAATGGTTCAGCCGGTGATCTGGGCCACAGTAAACTCCGAGACCGGCCCTTGCGAGGAGCGCGTGGGCCTGGAGTGACCATGCCACATCGGTGGCAGTATATACCCACCGGGCTCTGGCGTCGTCGGCGTTATCCTCGATAGCGTCGCCGTCGGGGCCCTCTGGTGAAGGCCGCGGCGTTGGCTGCAGAAGCTCGTCTTCGCCGAGGGCGACTTGGAGATCGAGAAGCTGAGGATCTCCCTCCAGAAGGCGCTGGTGTGCGGTGGCAAATCTCGCGACTGTTGCTCGGTGATCATGGTTTTCAGGGCATTCCTCTCAGATTCCCAGCGCAGGCCTTTCTAGACGGTGTGCTCCGGGTGTTCTTCTTCTCGGTTGCACCATCTGCGCTGTGGAGATGGGTCGGCAGAAACGCCAGCCTTTACTTTTCTCTGCTGGGTGTGATCACCCCCGCAGAGGTAGTTGCAGAGGAGACCGAGGTGCCAAGCGGTGCACTTGGCCTTGCCTTTCGTGCGGAGTAGCCGCGCGTTGGCAAAGTACTGTAGACCCTGTTTGACCGCAGCAACGGCACCAAGGTCGCGTGCGGTAGTAGGGATGCGTCGCAGGAAGGACCTTCTCTAAGAGGTGCGGAGCATATGCGAGAGCAACCCTGCTGGCAGGCGGATCCATGACAGGGGGGGCGAGCCCAGGTCGTATATCGCAATGTCTTGCCAAACTCTACCCGCCGGATCTCCACCTCGGAAGGATTGCGCACACTCGCGCAGCTCCGTGGCTGTAGCGCTGAGACTGGTGTGTCGCCGCGCTTGTAGAGGCCTCCTAGATGGGGTCGGAGTAGATGGGGTCGGAGGATCGCGCCGCATCGCCGATACATCGGCGATGCATCGGAGATGCATCATCGACACGGGTGATGCATCGGCGACGTCGGCGTGGAGGAAATCGGGCTCCACATCGAGCCGCATCGGCCATACATCGTCAATGTGGCACGATCCTCCGACCCCATCTGCTCCGACCCCATCTGGGAGGCCCAGAACTTGCCTTCCCAGCCCTATCACAGCTTTTCTTTGCGCCACGGCACCAATTTCGATTTCGTGCCCAGGAACGTGGAGAGCGCAGAGGGCCCAACGTGCGATGCAGGATAATATTTGGGGCCCGTTGGCGGCAAACAGGGCTGAACCTAAACGGTGTTTTTCGTTTTCGTTTTGTTTTCGTTATCCCTCGTTTTGTCTTCAATCCGCCTTTACCGCAAAACGAAATCGAAACGAAAACGGCCCACGAAATCGCCAAAACACCGTTTAGGTCCACCCCTGGCGGCAAGCGCCGTGGTGCTGTAACAGAGGTTCCTGGCTCTCCGGCGAGGCGCTCGGATGTCGATGCCGGCGGGGTACATGCTGGCAACGAGGGATCTCACTGATCGGACTCTCGCCTGGGCGCCTTCGGGGAGCCGCCTGGCGCGACGCAATCTGGCGACAGCCCGTCGTGGCCTCCACTGGGGGGAACCAACAGGTATCGATACTGCTACCCATCGGTCGGAAAAAGTAGGTAGAAACATGAAGTAGGAAGGCGTAGAAAGTAGATTGAGTTCCTTCCGCCCCCCAAGGAGGACGGAAAAGGTGAAGCCACTCGATCACTGAAGTAGGAGGGCGCCTAAAGCAGATTGGAGCCCGGGAATCCAAAAAAACCTACTTTCGGCAACCGACGGGTGGTATAGCCCCCGGACCTCTCCTGGGGTGCGTTCTGACCAGAATTCCGAAGCGACGAGGGCCCCGATTTCGAAGAGGATGGAGTACATGGCGGCGAGAGGCCCCTCTGGAGGCGAGATGGCACCCCAATGGCGTGGGATCTGAGGGCACGGCTGCACCGGGCCGCGCAGAGAGCGTCCTGGCCACGGCATGGTGAGCGTTGTATGATTCGGTCGGGGCTCCGGCGCCAGGGCCCCAGGGCCCAGTCCCCCGCTGCTGTACATGTATATGTATATGTAGATGTATATGTAGATGTACATGTATGTATATACATCTATATGTAAATATACATATCTATGTGTATACACGTGAATATACGTATGAACACATATATAAATACACGCATATATAACATCTATTTTTATATATATATATATATATATATACATATATGGTCCCGGGCTCCGGGCCCACGGCCCCCCCCCACCCCAGATGGTATGGTCCCAGGATTCCTCGGCCCCCCCCCCAGATGGTATGGTCCCAGAGACGACGACGACGACGACGACGACGACGACGACGACGACGACGACGACGACGACGACGACAGCGACGACGACGACGACGACGACGGCGACGGCGACGGCGACGGCGACGGCGACGGCGACGGCGACGGCGACGACTACGACGACGGCGACGACGACCACGACGACGACGACGGCTGCGGCGGCGACGACGCCGGCGGCGGCGGCGACGGAGCCCTGGAGCGCGGGTTTACTGCCAGCGCTGCGCTCCCTCGCCGACGTGGAGCCCCACATCATCGGCGCGCAGGCCATCTTCGCGCTGCAGCAGTTCGCCAAGGTGCGGGCCCAGACCTGGGAGCAGCACCCCATGCGGCAGCGCTCCAAGCGGTTCTACGAGCGCCTGAGCGCGAAGTTCTCAGGCTCAGGGGGCTACCTGCACCGCATCTGCCACTGGAAGCAGGCGTGGAAGGAGCCCATCTCGTCGGCCAAGAAGTTGAAGCTGCCAGCGGACCCGCAGCTCGCGGTCAATCAGGAGGCGCAGGAGTGGGCCAGCATTTGGCGCGCTGGGGCAGGTGACTACACCAAGCTGTGGCAGGACACCCAGGTCCAGACCCAACGGCTGGCCCATGCGCAGCAGCTGCCCATCATCGACGCGATGCAGGTGCGCACCATATGCCGCAGCTACAAATGGAAGACTGGGCTCGGGCTCGACGGCTGGCACTTTGGGCACCTGGCCTGGCTCAGTGATGAGGCTTTGACCAGCCTCGGGGACATCCTCATGCTGTGCGAGCGGCTCTGCTCGTGGCCCACGGCCATGCGCATGCTCATCCTTTTCCTGGTCGCCAAGGAGGACGGCGGCGGCAGGCCCATCACCCTTTTTCCCACGCCAGTGCGCATCTGGGAGGCTGTTCGTGATCCCTTGATTCGGCAGCGGGAGCGGGCCCACGCGAGGCCCTACGACTGGGCATCACCAGGGCGCAGCAGTGAGCATGCTGTTTGGAGAGCGATGTTGGATGACGAGGCCTTGGACGGTACCAGTTTCGCGCCCCTCACCGCCTCGATGGATCTGGAGAAGGCTTATGAATATGTAGCGCTCAACTTGATTTGGATTCTCGGCATGGCACAGCAAGCACCCATGAGTGTATTGGCCCTCTCTCTGGAGTCGTACGCCTTCCCTCGGGCGGTCCGAAAGGGTCAGGCTGTCGCCGACGCCATCTGTACCTACGTGGGGCTGCCCGCTGGGTCGAAGTATGCCAATCGCTTCCTGAAGATTGTGCTGTATCCGATCCTGGACGTCGTGGCCCGATGGCCAGGGGCCAAGCTGGAGATCACTAAGTTTGTGGACGACTTAGCCCTGCGGATGGTGGGCAGGAGCGCACAGCTGAAGTTGATCTTCCCTGACCTGGCCCGCACCCTCATCCGCCTTTTGGAGTCGCTGCTGCAGCTCAAGGTCTCGAAGGGTGAGGGAGGCAAGTCCAGGTTCGTCTCCAGCGACGGCTCCTTGGCACAGGAGCTGGCACAGCCCATGGCGGACATCGGCCTGCAGCACGGTGAGAGCGAGCGCTGGTTGGGCGTGGACTACCAACCCCAGGGCCCTCGGAAGAAGGACACCAGAGCCAGACGGGCCAAGACTGCCCGAGGCCGCTGGCACAAGGCGGCTGCCCTCAAGCGCCGAGGGGCGCGGGTGCGCCCTGTGGCCCAGCAAGGCCTCAAAGCGTCAGTGGCGTATGGGGCGACCTGCGCTGGCACTCCTCCTGCCGTCCTCAAGTTCGTCATGGCCAAGACAGCTGCCGTGCGCGCGGGGGCTGGGACTTTTCGCTCGGGCACGCTGGGCTGGGCGATCGCGCCGAGGACGGACGGCGCCGAGCAGCTCAGGTCCGCCCCTCTTCGGGCATGGCTGCGCGAGGCCTGGGACCAGCCCGAGAGACGGAAGGAGATGGCCCACGCGTGGGGCCGTCAGTGGCCCAAGGTGCAGCGCGCCCACACCTATGGCCCCGCCAAGTTCGACGCCTGGAAGATGGTGCGGGGGCCAGCGGCTGCCACCATTCTGGCGGTGCACGAGCTGGGATGGCACATGGAGGACGCCTGGGCCATCCTCGACGGCGCCCACGGCAAGTGGGACATCCGCGAGGTCGCCCCCCTCGAGATCATGCGATCTGCAGAGAGGGCGGTCGCAAAGAAGAAGCTCATGGACTGGGCGCTAGCTGATGAGGAGCGCCAGCCGCTCCGACCCACCCCCTTCTTGCTGCCAGTCAAGCAGCTCATGCGCTCCAAGACCACGGAGACCTGGACGAGGCACCACATCAACAGTGCCAGGACGGTCGCGCTAGGAAGTTACCCTGTACAGACGGTGCTACGAGCGCGGCCAGGTCACGAGCCCTCTGTGCCCGTTGTGCGGCAAGAAGAAGGGCACTTTGTTGCATGTGCATTTTCTTTGTGATGCCGATGTTTGCGTCACGATTCGTGGTGGGCTCACGGAGCCGACTCTCAAGAACAGTTTTCGGGACGTGGTGCATTTGGGCGAGACGGCCGCCACGAAGGAGGAGCAGGGCTGCAGAGGCGGCGACACGCTTTTCTGGAAATGTGCTCGCGGCCTGATCGCGGACCCCGTGGTCGACTACCAGGTGCCCCCGCCGCCCGACGAGTACCAGTGGGGCGATCCCGACGGCGAGATGGTGCTGTCGAGGCTGGGTGGCCACGGACGGACGCGCCCTGTCCCCCGACGTGGAGGAGGTATCCACGGGAGGCTTCGCCGCCATCACCTGGAGCGCTGAAAAGAAAAGTGAGATTCAGTCCTTGCTCGGTGCTGTGCCAGTTGCGAGGCCCACGTCGGCCCACTGTGAGATTTGGGCTGTGTACCAGGCTGTAAAGCACTCGGTAGGGCTCGTAGGGCTCCTGATAGATAGCAAGCAGGTCGTTCAGGGGCTCTTGGCGGGCAAAGAATTTTGTGTGAATAGCGAGCAGATAACCGCGCACCTGTGGAAGCTTGTTTGGGATGCCCTGGAGGATCAGTGTCTCATCCCAGAGGAATCCCTTCAGGTAGTCAAGATTAAGTCTCACATGACCAAGGCCCAAAGAGCCAGTCTTTCGGGTGAGAGTCTTGTGCATTTTGATATGAATAGGTGTGCTGACGCTCGTGCAAGAGAGGGAGCTGACCCCTATGCCGCCCCAAAGTGGAAGGTGGAACAGGTCAAGCAGTGTCTTAAATTTCAGAAGAAGCTGCTACAGTATGCAGCGTCTTTCCGAGTGGATCTTAGCGAAGCCAAAGCTACCACCACGAGCCTGCCGTCCCCTGCTGGTCGGACTCGGAGGAGCGAACGTTTTGCCCGCCCTTTGGCAGTCGCGCCTGAGCGGGCCCATCGTTTTAGGCTCCTTGAGGGTGGTAAGTGGCAGTGTCTGGAGTGCTCTCGCCTCGTCCGCGTGGTCGCTCGTCTCAGCATGGCCAAGCGGGAGTTGTGCCCTGGATGGGGGGAGCCATTTCAAAAGGCAGGGCCCGTTTGAAAGTCAAGGCCCTGGTCCACGGCGAGTGTGTGACGGACCAGATCCGTGCAGCTGCGGCTGAGAGGGCTGCGGAAGCAAGGGGGTCTGGGTCCCAGGTTTCACCTCCACCCCCACCTCGGGAACACGAAGTGGTTGAGAAGGTGGGTTATGCTGTGTGCCGAATTTGTGGGGCTTTCGCCCGTTCCCGGGCCCAGAAGCTGTTGCGGGAATGCGAGGGCCCTCTGACGAAGGGTATTGCCGCCCATCGGTGGCGGAAGCTCTATCGTGATCGAATCCAGGACAGTAAGAATCCGTACACGGGAAAGCCCGTGCGAGAGCAGGATTGACCAGTTTGGCCAAGGTGATGTGTGGTCCTGAGGCCCATCCCCAAGAGCCCCCCAGTCAAAAGACGAGGACGACGACCTCTGAACCACCACAGCACCACACCAGATCCACAGGGGGGGGAGGGGGGCACCGCAGCGCAGCACCACGCCACGCCCACCTCTGAACCACCACAGCACCACACCACATCCACAGGGGGGGGGGGGCACCGCAGCGCAGCACCACGCCACGCCCACAGGGGGGGGGGCCCAATGGCATCAGCATTGGGGGGGGCCCAAGCCCTGGACCATACATATACATGCATACATACATAGATACATACATACATATATGTATGTATTATCATACGACCTTCTCCGAGGGAATAGAGCTCAGAGGCGATTAACGCGAACGCGCCGCGTCGTTCGCGATGTTGTGTGTCCGTTTCGCCAGGGACATCCTCGAAATTCTGAAAATCGGTGGCACCCCTCACACAGATCGTGACGTCAGGGTCAGAGAATGGCGGTTTCGCTTGAGACATCCTCCCAAAATCGAGCCCCGACGTACCTTCTGGTACCCCAGACCTCGCCTCGGAGCCTCCTAAGGGCCTCCTGGAACCTCCTGGGGCTTTCTGTACCTTCTGGTACCTCAGACCCCGCCTCGGAGCCTCCTGGGGGTCTCCTGGAACCTCCTGGGGGTCTCCTGGAACCTCCTGGGGCCTCCTTGGGCCTCCTGGGTCCTCCTGGAGCCTCTTGGGGCCTCCTGGAGCCTCCTGGGGTCTCCTGGGGCCTCCTGAGGCCGCCTGGGGCCTCCTGGGGCCTCCTGGGGCCTCAGAACTACATGCACACACAGAGACACAAATCACACCCAACATATCACACGCTAAACAAAAATAACACACACACACACACACACACACACACACATTCACACACACACACACACATACACAACACCTACAACGCACAGAAAACACGCACAACACAGAGCACACATCACACACACACACACACACAACACTCACAATCCTGGGGCCTCCTGGAGCCTCTTTCGGTATCCAAATCGGGCCTCCTGAGGCTTCCTGGGGGGCCCTGGTACACACATCGCAAGGTGTGGCAACCCCACTTGCGCTCTAGTGCGACCTCGCTATTGCATTTCACTGCCAGCAGCTATCCTCCTCCTCCTCTTCTCCTCCTTCTCTTTCTCCTCCACGCCCTTTCAGTTTTTTGTATGCGCCTGGGCACACACGTGCCAATTGTGTGTATATGTATATATATATATATATATATATATATACGCATACGAAGAATTACCGACACCACTGTCTACCTATCTATCGGTCTCCCAATCTCCATCGAGATCAGTATGCATCTGTCGATCCCACCATCTATCGATCTCAGAAAATTAGTGGAACCATCGATGCCTGTATTTGACTATCAAACAATCAGTGAGTCAACCATCCGGACAACCATCGGGACAACCGTCGGAACAACCATCGGGGCAACCATCGGGACAGCCGTCGGGACATCCGTCGAGACAACCACACCTGCCCCAGGGCGGCTGGGGTAGGTGTCCCCGACGGCGAGAAAAAGTTTATGTTATACCGTTTTTCGCCCGTTAAACAAAACAGCGGCGGGACAACCGCGGGCCCGCATCTGCCAGCCCGGTGGAGAATGGACGTTTGCTCCGACTCCGCCCTGACCACGGCGGGATCCCTCCTCTCGCTGTGTCGTGCGCTGCGTCGCCTCGCCCGCGCGCGCGGAATGGGCACGACACCGACACCGCGTGGCCGGAGGGGGGTCGCAGTTTCGCTTCGGCCTCACCACCCCCACCCCTCGGGACAACCCTTGGGGCAACCATCAGGACAACCATCCGGACAACCGTCGGGCCAACCATGGTGGCAAGCCCTCGGGAAGGAGATCGGACAACAATCGCGGGAGAACCATCGGGGCAACCGACGGGACAACCATCGGGGCAACCATCGGGGCAACCATCGGGGCAACCATCGGGACAACCATCGGGACCACCACGGGACAACCAAGGGATAACCACGGGATAGCCGCGGGAAAACCGCGGATCCAAAACTGCCAACCTGGTGGAGGGACTTTTGCACCGACTTCGCCCTAGCAACGGAAGGAGCACTCCTCTCGCCCGCGAACGCAGCTTCGACACCAACACGAAACACAAAACCTGCTTCCTGGTCAGGAGTCTCAAGTTCACTGCGACATCACCCCTCAACCCTCGGGACAATCATTGGGAAAACCATCAGGACACCTATGGGGAAAACCACCAGGGCAACCGTCGGAACAACCATCAAACCAAGACAAACCGTCGGGACAACCATTGGGACAACATTCGGGGCAACCATCGGGACAACCATCGGGGAGACCATAGGACAACCGTGGGACAACCACGAGACAAACACGGGACAACCACGGGACACCAACTGGCAACGGGACGGGGAGCCTCTTGTCGTGACTTCGGCCCAGCGGCGGCGGGATCGCACCTCTCGCCCGCGCACGCAGCGTCGCCCCAGCTGCACGGCACGCACGAAAGGAAGAGGGAGCCGAAACCGATTCCCCGACGTGGGGGGTCTCGGCTTCGCTTCCATCTCACCACCCCCCACCCTCCGGTGCACACACACACACACACACATCGAAACCGAAACCGAAACGAACAGACAGGGGTCCAGGGGTCCAGGGGTCCAGGTGCCTCAAGAAGTCCAGGTGCCCCCTGCCTCTCCTCGCCCTGGCTCCAGAGAGAGAGGGAGAGAAAGTGAGAGAGAGAGAGCGAGCGAGGCGGCGCCTCGAAGTGTTGCTCCAGCTCCGCGCAGCGCTGCTCCAGCTCCATGCCACGCTGCAGCTTCGCCGACAGCGCCTCGGACATCTCCTGAACGGGGCCCCAGGGGGGGGGGTCCGCTCCCTGTCCTGCTCCTCCTCCCCCGCCTCCTCCTCCTCCTCCTCCCCCTCCTCCTTCTCCTCCTCCTCCTCGCCTTCCTCCTCGTCCTCCGTCCTCCTCGTCAACCTTCCCCTGGGGGAGGCGCGAACCGGGCCGAAGTGGATGAGGGCGGAAGGTCGCACTGCATCGCCGATGCATCGGCGATGAGCTGCTGGCGTTGGGATGGAACAACACAGAGTTCCGCACCGCACCACATCAGTGATACTTCGGCGAGGCTGCGCAGACCTCTCGCCACATCTACTCTGGCACCATGTGGGCAACCCGAGTCCTTCTCCGCCCCGCTTCATCCTTCGTTCCTCCCCCTCCTCACACCATAGTGCCCCTCCTCCGTAGCCATTTGGCTCAAGCCGCTCGGCTCGAACCCTTGCGCTCGTTGACCATATCGGGGATGTACTCAGCGTGGGCGGGCACAGAGAAGGCACCGATCACCACACGCATCATGGTATCTGTGGCCTACAGTTCGAAGTTAAAGCGGTAGGAGTGCACTCCCCGACGCCGTCTTCACCCTGGTGTTCTCATGGCCCAATGGTGGGCCTGCACTAACACAGTGGATGCGAGCCTCGCTGGACGCTCCGCTCGAGGCAGCGGCGCACGTCAACCACAGCGGTTTCGAGGAGACTGTGCCCCAACCGTTGCAGCGACCAACCAGGGCGCGTCCAAGTGGCCACCAAGGCGGGGAAGGACCCGCCATGGTCCGCGTGGCCACCCCCTCTCCATGAACCGGAGCGGCAAGGCTTCGCCATCCTACAATTAGGTCGGGCATGTCCCCCAACGGGCGGATCTTGGAGGACAAATTAAAGGTAAAAGTAGTCAAATAGATTCAAACATAGTCAGAACACAATCGAGAAAATCGTCCCCACGATATTTGAAGACTCCTCCTGTAGAGGGACAGGCCCGACTTAATCCTACAACATATCGAACACGGCGCGAAGCACGCAGCGCGCCCCACGCCCGCGCGCGCGTGACCCAGGTCGCCTGCGCACGTGTGGTGAGTTGCGTGGCATCAAACTTGCGAAGTCGCCACGATGGCCTGTACATTTAGATCGGGTAATTATGTTCTCCTACAGGCGGGTTTGGACAGAAAGTAATTCCCCAATCAGAGCTTGCCTCTGTAGGGAGTCTAGCGGACTAAAGGGTAGGTAAGGTGTGCCATCGATTCGGTGGCCGGGCCCGGGTGCCCGGGTGCCCGGGTGCCCGGGTGCCCGGGTTCGCCGCCGATTCGGTGGCCGGGCCCGGGTGCCCGGATGCCCAGGTGCCCGGGTGCCCGGGTGACGGGTGCCCGGTGCCCGGGTGGGTGCCCGGGTGCCGGGTGCTGGGTGCCCGGGTGCCCGGTGCCCTGTATCCCTATAGCCCTATAGCCCTATATCCCTATCGCCCTATAGCCCTAGAACCCATATAGCCATATAGCCCATATAGCGCCCAACAGCCCATATAGCCCTGTAGCCCTATAGCCCTACAGCCCTGGAAAGATTATGATTGGTTTTTTCTCTGGTATCATTATGTTCTCCTACAGGCGGGTTTGGACAGAAAGAAACAAGATTCAACAATTATTTCACTATTTTTGAATTTCCCTCCTGTAGAAGGAGGGGACGTACAGGACGCGTCAACGCGAGCGCGAGATGGCGTGAGCCGCGCGTGCGCGACGGCGCATGTGCCGCGAGTTCCGAGAAGACACCGGTGGACAAAAAACACAATGTTTTTCCAGATAGTCCACCAGAAACCTCAGCGTGCATCGCATTGATTTCCACGCGAGCATACGGTTTTGGCACTCTTGAAGTTGCTATAACATTTTTTAACAAACAAAAAAAAACGGCGCAAACCAGCCGCCGACCCACGTGAGCGCGCGCGTGCGGGTGACCCGGGTCACACCCGGTCACCCGCGTCTGCGCGGCGAGCTTCGCGCGGTCACGCTGGAGAGGCCGCGGCGTTGGCCTGGGACCCCATCTGACACCCCAGCGCGCGACCCTGAGTTTTACAGGTCAGCACGTGACGTTCAAAGGTCCATCATTCGAGGAGTTCGTTCCACTCCTCGCAGAGTACCTACTCGCAAATGGCCTGGATCCCCCGCGGGGGACCTACGATACATAACATCAAAGCAGACTCGTGCCTGTCGGACTTTTGCGAGTAGGCACTTTGCGAGTAGCGGAACGCGCTCGGTGAATCATAAGGGACGCCATTCGGGTCGGGCGAAAGGGGGAAGAAAGGGGGGGGATAGCAAAGGGGGGGGTTGAGAATCAGCTCACGTAGCTGATTTTCCCGGCGCCTCCCGGCGCCGGAGGCGACTATGTCTCGAGGAATGGGCCCCTCGGTGAGGCCGAAACCAGCTGCATGCAGCAAATTCCCCAATCCCCCCCTTTCGCCTGGCCCGAGCCATGCACGCCGCGTGCCGGAGCCCAAGCACGACGAGATCTGCGCCACCGGCGCGAACGAATCGCCACGCTGGCTTGGGATGCCCTGCGAGGGCGGCGCGCTCCTTCCCACCCAGCCCCTTCCCAGCGCTTGCGATCCCCATCCTGGCCCGTCTCTCCCTCCCTCCTTCTCCCCGTCGTCCTCCTTTGTGTTGTGTTGCCAACGTTTCTTTCTTGTGTGTGTTTGTGTGTGCTTCTCTCGTTATATCTCTTGCTCTCGCTGTCTGTTTTCCTCTATCTCTCTCTCTATTCCCCTCTTCCTCCCTTGCTACGTGTACAACATTTATTATGCATCTATCATTCTCAGTTTGACGTCTTTCTCTCTCTCTCTCTCTCGCTCTGTTTGTTTGTTGTTTCTCTTTATCCCTCTATGTGTTTTGTTTTCTCTCTCTCTCTCTTTCTCTGTCTGCGTGTCTCTCTATCTCTCTCTTCCTCTCTATCTCTCCCTCGACTCGAGGGCACCTGGGCCAAACACGTAGCCAGACCACGATACCTTCCGCGCCCGTCAACCCGGCGAGGCCGCAGCCGTGCCACTCAGCACACAACCGACTCGCGCCACTCCACTTCCAATCCCTCTGCCGCGCCTGCACGCCGTGCGGCGTCGCCCCGGCATCTCGACCCGAGCGGTGCGCTTTCGAGCCCGCGGCCTCGGTTGCCACGCCGGAGGCGCTTCGCCCTCGTCCAGTCCGCCGCGGAAGCCACACGCTTCGAGTCCCCGCTCTCGACGACCAAATTCTTCCCGACCTCTCCCCCCGACCCACCCGCGCGCGATCCCCCCGACCGCCCAGCCGATCTGCGCGGAGGGCTTCACGGGCACCCCGAGTCGATCGTCGCGCCGTTCGCGACGCTCTTCGCGCGCGCCTCGCCGAACCCCGCGCCCCGCCAGCCAGGGTGGCGCTCCACCTCTTCGTGTTTTCCTAGGAGGGCTCCAAGATCAGCGCGGCGACCTCCGCGACGCACTCCGCGTCGTCCGCGATGCTCTCTTCATGCCGAATCTCCCCCGACCGCCAGCCACGGAGGCCACGGGGCCAAAATGGCATCCAGCTCCGAGCACCCGTGTGCCCATGTGGCAGACCATCTGACTACCTACCAGACCACCCCAACCCAACCCGAAGACCCGAATTTCGGGGTTGGGGGGGTAAGGGTTCCACATGTGTTTTTCCGATGTTCCCCGCCCCCCCCCCACTGGAAATCGAAGGTAAATCTGAGCCTTCGGGTTGGGTTGGGGTGGTTTGGTGGGTGGTGACCATCGTACCCTCGTGGCGAGAACCCAAAGACTGCTTGTGGAACTGCCCATGGCCACCAGGCCGCAGCAGCACCCGGCCACCGCGCTGCTCTTCGAGGCGACGCCGCTGCCCGCCGACTACCACTGGCGACAGCCAGCGGGACCAAGGGGCCCACATTCCGGCCGGACGCCCGCCGCGATCCATCGTGGCCCTCCCGCCGCCAGGCCGCGGACCGCCACGGGAGCTGCCCTGAGTGGCCGCCGAGCCAAAACTCCAGGCAGCCCCTGCGTTGTCACCTCTGTCGTGGTCCACCCTCTGAACGCCCGGTGCCTCCCATGTGCATCAGCCGCTCCTCCTCTCGTAGCCCCTTGTGGCGCCTCCGGGCGTCCGTCGACTGCCACTGGAGATTCCCCGAATGCCCCAGAGGGGAGGAGAGAGGACGGGGAGAGATGAAGAGGAGGAAAGGGCCATCGGTGGCAACTCTTGTACCCCGGGCCTCTCAGGCGGCTCGTTTGGCAGCTCGGCTCGCACAAGGGCCAGAGAGAAGCTAGACGGGGTCGCCCACAGCGTGCCAACGGAAAACTTCGGAAAACAAAGAAACTGCTCAAAAGCCTGCCAGACAACTCCTTCCCCAAGCATGTCCAGTTCCTCCTCCTTCTCCTCCGCCTCCTCCTGCTCCTCCTCCTCCTCCCCTCCAACTCCTCCTCCTCCTCCTCCTCCTCCTCATCCTCCTCCTCCTCCTCCTCCTCCTCCGCCTCCTCCTCCTCCTCGTCCTCCGCCTCCTCCTCCTCCTCGTTCTCCTCCTCCTCCTCCTCCTCCTCCTCCTCCTCCTCGTTCTCCTCCTCCTCCTGTTCCTCCCCCTGTTCCTCCTCCTCCTCCTCCTCTTCCTCCTCCTCCTCCTCCTCCTCCCTCCCCCAGCCCCTCAAGCTGCACCCCCGCCCTGTTTTTTTCCAGGAGCGCGGGAGGTGCTCCCCGGAAGCGCAGACTGCGTGTTCCGCTCCCGCCGCTCGCCCCCTGTTCTGGTGAGCGCTCCCCCTGCTCTCGGCGTCTGGGCCGTTCTTCGGGGAACGAAGAATGACATGAACATACAAACTCGGAGGTCCGCGCGGATTTCTCGGATCCGCGCTGGACCCCCCTGGCGGCGCCTCCGGCACCGCCCCTGGCGCGCTCCGCGCGCCAAGCAGGGGGGTCCAACGCCGATCCGAGAAATCTGCGCGGACCTCCGAGTTTTATGTTTATGTCATTGTTCGTTCCCCTGAGTCTTGTGAGCGCAAGGGCCGTTCTGGTGAGCGCC